TCGGTCGGTCGGTCGGTTGGTTGGTTGGTTGGTTGGTTGGTTGGTTGGTTGGTTGGTTGGTTGGTTGGTTGGTTGGTTGGTTGGTTGGTTGGTTAGCTGGCTAGTTCGTTAGTTAGTTAGTTAGTTAGTTAGTTAGTTAGTTAGTTAGTCAGTTAGTTAGTTCGTTTGTTTGTTAGTTAGTTAGTTAATTAGTTAGTTAGCTAGCTAGCTAGCTAGCTAGCTAGCTAGCTAGCTAGCTAGTTAATTGATTACTTATACTCTATGTATGAGTAGTTTTGATTTATCTCTCTATGTAGCTTCTTTGTTCCCGAGAGCCAAATGCATAGCTTCTGCCGCGCTTACCCAGCTTCGGTGGAGGTAGAGGTGCACCACTCTCTGAGACTCTAGCCGAACATGCAGACATCATACCTACCTACATAAATATGTACATATGTATGTATCTCTCTTCATATTTACATATGGAATTATGCAGGTGGTTCTATAATATGTGGGGCACGCGACCTCCGGAGGACGCCGAGTGCGCTGTACATTTAAAGTAAGCTCTGCGCACATATCAATGTTGATCAATAAAGTTTGCACTCAGCAGCTTTTCAAAAGGTGCTTTCAGCCAATCTTTGGGCAAAGCCTGCGAACTAGCTAAGCGCTCTGGACATTGATCCGGTGACTCATGTCCAGTCCTGCAGGGATCTTTGCGAGGCTTGGCAGCTCAAGCTGTTGACAAACATGCTGATTCCAATTTGATACAGGCAAGTACCAGATTGACGGGGACAACTTTGTGCTAATATGTATTAACTGTGAGTGACGTGGCTTGGCAAGTGACGCAGCCATGACCTACACTGCCTGTCAGACTAACACCGGTCTGTCAGAATCCTGTAGGGCCGTCCCCCAGGGTGAAGAAGCGAACAGCACCGTCCATCGCAGCCGTGCAGAGCAGGCCATCAGCCCCTGAGCAAGGTCTTGGCACGGGCTGTTGCTGCTTCCACTGTCTCTTCAAATTCTCTTCAGGAGACCAGACCGGCAAATCTCCACGCACCAGGGATGAGCTGCTGCAAAGACTCGCATTGCAGCATAATTCACGTGGACGCCATGCTCGAAGCAGCGAATCATCTCGCCGGACTCAACCTGCTGATGTCTGCCAATGCCACATATCTCTTCTGTCAGTTGCGCAGACTGTTTTTAGGAAGGCCCCGTGTGCTTTATGCGTGCTTTGCTACCATCTGCTCTCGTTAGAATATTGCCCAGAGCAACATAACTTTCTGTTACTGATGAGTTCAGCCCCGCAAAAAACACACGACCGCAACTTGACAGATGTCCGGCCCAGCAAGAGTGCGTTTCCCAAGTTTGCTTTTTCATCTTGGACTGCTGCTCATCCGACCTACTCTGAGTTCAATGTAATTTTCGGGTTGGAAGAACATCAGCTGAAGGGCAAGAACCATGTAGATATGTGAGTCACAATGAGAAATCCTCATCTGAGGCACGTCGTAGACGCGGGCGTGATCACCGGACACTACGCAGACTCTGTCCTTAGCTGGAAACGACCGTAATCATGCTTTGTTTGGTTCCTCCGGCTTTCGTGCTGCCGAGCGACACCAGCAGGAGAGAACCTGTCGGTAGCTGGAAATGAAATGGTTGCCATAACTTAGTGGCCAGGGCCAGGGTGCCCTTAGCCACCTTAGCCCGGCCTGGTGGAGACGGTCAGAGCATCTTGCTCAATGGCCATCTCACAGCGCCCAGTCACCGCCTCGAAGATCTGGGTCTGGTCTTCTTTGCGAGTCGTGCTCGCACAGATGAGCCTTCAAGGCAGCACCAGCAATGCGGTTTCAGCTGCAGGCTCCAACTAAATTCCGGCAAAATAAATCAGGAACGAACCAACGGATGTGTTCTACTCGGCATCAAGAAAGCAAGAGAACGTTGTCGCTGCTCAGGCCAAGGAGAAGCACTCCAATGCCCCTTCTGCTATGGACTACGAGTCTACGAGGCTCCTGGAGTCCGGGCTGAAGTCCACGGAAGTCACAAGGCCGCTGAACTTCTTCTTTGAAACCTCCAGCTCAGGCAAGGGAGGCAAGGGAACCCCACATGAAGCGATTCCCATCTCGTGGTTTCAGTCTTGGACCAGCTTGGCTTCGGGAGCCGTGACGTCAAAGATGCGGATGCACTTGTCTGCCGAGCCTGGGCTGCAAGAACGAACATGCAACCCTCTAGGGAGCGGGCCACCCTGCACTTCACAGGAGCCTGTGGCGAGTAATGTGCCATCAGGGCTGTAGCGGACAGAAACGACCCAGCTGTCATGCTTCAGCTTGGCCACCTCACTCAAGCACGATTGCAGGGCACGGTCCAAGGCTGTACACATCTCCCACAACCTTACCAACAACCGCCTGGCCTCGTCTCCTTCGTTCAAATCAAATATCCTCACGAAAGCGTCGCCGGAGGCTGTTGCAACGGACTGTCCATCCGGGCTGAAGCTCGCGCATTTCGCAGGCAGCCCATGGCCAAACATCTCCAACAGCTTCCAAGTTTTGCAGTCGTAGACTCTAACGGATCGATCGTCCGAAGCTGTGCACAGCATCGACCCATCACAACTAAAATCGGACCACCAAATCGTGGTCCCGTGGTCGACCTCCTGAGACAGATGCGTCACACAGAGAGCTCCTACCTGCAGCCCAACGTCGGGCATTCACAGCGTCTGGAGAGATTTCTGTCCTTGACCATGCGACCCGTCTCCAGCTCGTACACCCGTGCTGTCCCATCCTCACCACATAATGTATCAGCAAAACCCGGCGCGCCTGCGTCGCTCTGGCAAGGCCTCTGAGGACGTGCACAGCAGTTGTCCACCGGCGCTGAAGTTCACTGAGCGCACCTTGGCTTGCGAGCCGCATGCATGATGCGAGCCGCAAGGATCCAGACATTTGCCGCATCCATGCTCTCACATATCATACATATTACATATCTATCTGTCGGAGGAACGCAAGAAGAGGATACCAACATGGAAGGTGGCTGTAGACGTGTTTTGCTGCAATTCAGCGAAGATGCTGGTCGCTTATGCAGAAAACAGGCGCTGTCCTAAGCTGCACAGGAAGAGCCATCACATGCATGGTTGTTGTAAGATGTGTACAAACTCCTGTGGGCAGATGCAAAACAGGGCAGACAAGTTGCTGTGGAAGTCGCAACCATTCTGGACCAGCCATGGTCACCGAGAAGGCGTTGTGAGGCTTCAAATGACTTCTGCAAGCAGAGCAAACGCCTGGCACATGCTGTGCACGCAGAGTTTCTCTCTCCTAAAATCCAGCCAGCAAAGAGCTTGAAAAACAATGGACTCAGTTTCGTCCCGTACCCTTCCTCGAATTGGGCCGTGCTCGTCGACACCATATAACAGCACAGCTGCGCCACATTGCTGTGTTGATTACGCCTGTGCAGTGTGTCTGCTCTAGAACTTGAGCCTTCAAGCAAGTGTTTGGGATCTGCTGATCACCAGTCATCATTTGCGCTGAATGGTAACCTCCACATGAGCAGAGTGGCATGAGTTGTAGCACGACAAGTCACTGCCGGAACAAAGCTTGCTTTTCCAGACGAGCTTGAGTGACTGTTACAAAACGGATGTGCGCAACCAAGTCTTCAAAGGAGCCAATGGCTAGCCGGCCGGCCGCATCTGCAAGCATCAAATCCGCTCTGGACACAGCGACGAGACACAGAAGAACAGTGCGGGGCGGGGCTTTGGGCCTTAGGTCTTCGTTTCAACACGTCCGAGGCCGTGACTTACCATGGCGATCACTTGCCTAAGGCCTGTCCTCGGCATTGACGGAAGAGAGCAACAGGATTGTTGGAGTCACAGATGCTACAGAGCTGTCTTCAACAGACCAGGTGAGCGAGGCGATTCTGGACTGCCGAAGGCAAGTCGTCGTATTCGGCTCTTCGCAGCTCTGGGTTGCCGGCTCCAACTCGCAGGGTCCCTGGTCGGCCGGGCGGTCTCTGCCTGAGCCAAAAACAACCCATCGCAACACCTGGCGCCACCCGCCGAGCTGTCACAGCGCTATCAGAAAGTGCTTCCGGCACCCAGAGATCTCTGATCCGATTCAGAATTGACGATGGCCTAACCTTCCAAACAGTGTAAAGCTACAACCGGTCGACGAGCCCTGACAAAATGGTCACTTAGGCTCTGACCCAGGCGTCGGAGTCGGTCGGTAAGATCATCTAGGACGCGGTGGCTCTGCGACCACTCGGCCAAGAGCTGAAGAAGCCTTGAACTTGCTGATATCTGCACAACACTGATTCAAAAGAATCCGGTGACTCTAGTGACTCTAGTGCCTTAGATTACAGTAAAGGAAAACACTTCAGCTGAGAAGCGAAGTGCGCTTCTCCGACAGCCATGGAAGGTGATTCATAATGCCCTGCTCGGTAGGAACCTGCACATGTACAGCATGGGGTTAGGACGTTGAACTCGCCTTCTGCAAAATGGACTGGTTAGAACCACTATCGATTGTGGCTGCCATTTGCTTCGCAAAATTGCAAGCTGGACTCCTGGATCTTCTACTGCGAATGAATTACACGACCAGCCCCGTGATCAGCGCCTCGGTGGTCTGTGGCAGAGTCGGTGGCTGTGGCTTGGGCTGCGGCGCCGGCTGCACTGGAGCTGTTGGCTGAGGCTGCGCCGTTGGCTGGGCCACAGGCGGTGAAGCCGTAGCCACCACTTGTTGTGGACTCACAGCTCCCTTCCTGATTGAATAGCATCAAAAATACAGTGTAATTTGTTCTGCACGACTCTCAGCTTCAGCTTATCGCGCAGTCCTTGCTTCGGGTGATTTGGTCGTCACCTCAAAGACGAGCGCTTCGCCTGGTCATGTCTGAGATCTGAGCTTCCCTGTTCTTGTGCCCACCACCTTCCCTTCACGAGCCTGGAAGGCTGGGAGCACTGGTACTCCGAATGGGCGTCGGCACCTAGGGCTTCGTCCGAGCTAAACCGAGTCGCCCTAGCCGGTAGGCTGCCTTTATGCGCAGTGCCGCGAGCCGGGGCTCCGGCGGACAGGAGCGCGCTGCCGCCAGCAGAGACCGCAGCTCCCGGAGCACCTTTACATGAGAAGCCCAAAGAGCTACACGGACCTCAACCTGAGAGGGTGGACAAGCCAGCTCCCTTTAAGCATCTTCAGCGGACGCAGAATAAAGCGTTGAAAAGCATCTGTTTGGCCTTGGCCTTCACCTCCACGGCGTGATCGCTTGCCTGCTGTGATACGGCCTGCTTCCAGCAGGAAAGGACTGGACAGTCAGACCGCAAGCAGAAAAGTCCGTGTGGCCTTGCTGGCGCGGCACAGGGTTTGCAGTACCTCAGCTTGACGCACTGCGAACGAAGCCGAGAGCTTACCGAATATACACTACGTTGAGCTGCCTTCGGGACTGCATCTTGACAGACCTTTGAGTGCAAAACACGATTGCTGTCGACCAAGTCTCCGACCAGTTCGGTGGTAGCCATTGCTAATGTAGCTTGGCGAGGTGATGTTTTGCGCATTGCCTTGCCAGTCTCAGACTGTGTCAATCGAAGAAACAGCACGGCGAAGAGCCTGTATAAATGCAAACATGCAAGGTTCTTGCAGCCACAATCACAAGAGGACATCTGTCACTCCTCACTGAAGTGCAAGCCGACTGGACTGCGACCGGGAGACTGCCAACACGGTTCCGGATCAGCATCCTGGCGTGCATGGTAAGCAACAGTGTCGGCAACGACGAAGACGTGTTGGAATTCTTTAAAACACACGCAGCACGGCGCACCCAGGGGCTGCCACGCGACAGTCTCGAAGGGGAGATCGGGCTGCGGCCTTGGAGCACGGAAGTGCCCAGCTCGAAAACCCGCGGCACTGCATAGCCCTGCAACTTCTTCCAAAAAGCTGTGCGCAGAACAGAAGTGGTAGCAGCCGGTCGAGCATGTCCTGGCTGCTGCGGAAACAGGTGCATGGCATTCCTGATCGACACAACCTACCAGTAGAGATGTGCAGGATGTATTTATGTGCACCATCTGCCTCGGTGCTGGCCTCGCGCCACAGCACCCTGGAGGACCGCGTGGATTCGCGCTGTTGGGGACAGGGTGTTGCAACAGGCAGGGGAATTTTGTTAGTCAAGCACATGCATCGTCGACCCGCACATGGACGTGGAAACAGCACGGCCTCCATCGTCATGGTCCAAGCTGAGCGCTCACGCTGCACGCGCTCCAGCTCGTCAAAAAAACAGAGTAGACACTGACGATGTCTCAGGGCTTTTAATAATGATAAGCTTTGTGATGTGACAACATCAGCACGTACACCCAAACTTGTATGTGCAGAATCATTCCAAGATGCTCTCGAGCCTGTGCTCTGTACGAGACTGAAGTGGATATGCTTCCGGGGCCTCCGGAGTTTGTGGAAACTTGTGAGGATGTGGCACCGGCTCTTCTTTGCACCAAGTTAACTTGTTGGTGCCATGTTGATTCGCAGTAATAATGCTCTACTTTCGGTGAGTTGCTGTGCGCGCGGAATGCCAAACTGGTTGCGGCTTACGGGCAGCTATGCGAACTTGGTTATCTTTTTTTATGCGGAGAACGGTTTTGCCGTTCAGCAGCAGCAGCCACTTCTTGCGTGTGCCACGGACGCTATGGTGCCACGCTATGATAGATGCCAAATGATGGTGCTCTCAAACGGGCTGTTCAGCGGCAGTTTCAAAACCGATGGAAACACACCTGACATCACAAAAGTGTCGAGCTATATTCGAAAGAAACGAAGGTTATATGTGTTCATATGAATCTGTCATAAATATCTCAAAGCCAATCTGGAGCAATCCCTCGGGCCAGCTTTGTTTGTTTCATGCTGCTGCGAGCCAAAACAGTAAAGAAACCCACAAAAATGCCAGGCGCCCATAGGAGCCATACGACCAGCCGCAGCTAACCGTGCAGAAGACAAACCGGCCCCATCCAAACATCCAGCTGACCAGTTGATCTGCAAAGAAGGTAGAATTGCAGCGAGATGAAAAAAAAAACATTTACGGCATGCCACACGTCTTCATACAGTCTTGTTGATGCACTCTGATCAAACGACACGCGACACAACTCTGCGCTGCATAAGCATCGCTGCGTCATCACAAATTCAGCTGGAAAGGTGATTTTTCACTCTTCGGGTCGATGACTCAGCATGCACTGCATACACGATTCCGGGATGGCCTACATGCGTGTTAGCGTAGACAAGCCGCGATCCACGACTACCCAGAGACTCCTTTTCGTGCGGTACTAAATATCAGAGTTGTTGCTGGAAGGATGTTTGGCTTGTTTGCAGCTGTCTCGCGAGGTGCGAAATGTAAGTTGACACAGCTGCTTCCTGTAGAAATACATGACACAAACAAAGTCAACGAAAGCAGGAAGGTTTTCTGAAGGATTTGCTCAGACGATCCTTCGTCCAACCGAAAATCTGCTGATGCCGAAACCCGAGAGCTTGTTTTTGAAGAAACAAGACGGACTGCAAGAGTTTCGCCCTGAAGATGGTGCGATGTGTTTCTCATGGAAGGACTCTCCTGAAGAGAGCTTCCTATACACGATAGGAGGACTCTTCTGTCGAGAAGCCTATCCGGAACAGCTTCCCGCTGTTGCACTGTGGCGCGCTGCTGCCGGTGCAGCTCCTCTTCCTTGTCAGGTGCCTGCTGGACCGCCAGCCTCCCAACCAAAGGTCGTCCTGACGCCCCGAGCCAGAAGCATCTTGTGTATAGACCAACTGCGTGCGGAGCAGAGAAGCGCGTAGTCCGTACAGCCGATACCTCCCCAGAATGTGAAAGCGCTTGGGAAAATAGTATTCCAGGATCCGTGCACCGCGGAGCCAGAGCGCCACCATGCGTCGAAGACAGAAACCGCTGGATGCTGCTCTGGCATGCACCCGGTGCAGCGCGTTGGCCAACAGGCCCGCGGGCTGTATGTGTGCCATATATATAATAGAGACTCCATCCCCAGCGCCAGAAAGTCTTTTGGCAAAAGGAGGCGCGAGCCGCCATAATCCGCCGGATGCGGAAAGAGATTCGGGTTGGAGAACGGTTCGTGGACCATGGTGCGTCCTTGCTTGGAGGTCCAGACTGGTGCATCGGCAACCTCAAAGGGGCATGGCAAGTGCACCGAACGATGCGTCAATCCGGACCTCCAAAATCTGGCCTTGCGCATGACGCGCAGGCATCACACGAACAACGCGGAGATTCGGAAAATCTTCCGCGAAGTGCACGAAGGGTTGGCCGCGGCATCCAGTTCCATTCCTATGACCGCATTCCTGGGATGTATACGCGAATCGGGTCGGCAAGTACTTTCCCTGGCGAAATTGCGCGAGTGCTATGACCGCATGGAGTTTCGCAAGCTCTACCTACTGGATGATTCCCAAATGGATGATCCCGATGGCGAATTTCGACGACTGCTCGAGCTTTGGGATGGGCGGCGACCTCGGTTCCAAGAAGCTCTCCGTATGGTCACGCGCGGCCTTTAACCTTTGGGTGGGTGCCAATTCGGAAGTGATCGGTGGCGAATGTCGCCGTTCCTTGCAATTCCATGATGGTGGACAGACTGGCGGCCAGGAAGAGCAAAAACCTGCTGCACCCGTACCCAGTTGCCGTTAAGCTATCGCTTTGCCCTATTGCAGTCTAGGCTTTCCAGGAATCATCACCTGTCCCATGGCGCCGCGATCCGCCAAGACGAAAGCCAAAATGGGACATTTGCTTTACGCCGGCACCCACATGGCATTGGCTCCGCGAACGGCTTCGGCGAAAGCTGCCATACCGCCGACGCGTTCAGCACCTCCTGCTGCACCTTCACGCCCAGCATCCCGGCTAGCCCGGGGCACGGGCCCGACTCCAGTTGACACACTCCGGGCTGACTGCAGGCAAGCGGTCCGAGCATGGCGCTGCTTGCTTTCTTCCGTTTTCATCTGTGGGCAGAGGCGTCTTAGGCGTGTCGGTTGCTTGATTCCGTCCATCTTTTGTGCTTGCGCATGGTTTGCTCTAAGAGGTCTGCACAGCGTGCAATTCACGCGCAACAGGCGCCTGGCCGTCTTTGCGATACATTGCACCGAGCTTGTGCTGACAGCCCTCGCCCGAGCGACAACTTCGCAAGGGCGCTTTGGTGTGTACGTCATTGTTCCTGGGCTCCTGTTTCAGCTTGTAGGCTTTGTTTCAACTTTTTGATGTTTTGTTGGTTTGTTGGGTCGGATTGGAACAGAGCGGCTGACGCTGTCTACGAGGTCCGCATCGTCGCTGCGATAAGGTCACAGATGTTTGCCGCAAAAAATCTTTGCGTGTCCATGCCCTTCTGGAGCGGAAACAAGAAAAATGACAGAAATGACAACTGCTTTCGCCGTGAGAATTCGTGTCATGGCGGAAGCAGTGATGGTGGTGATGTTAGTGACAGAGGCGTTCTTGCTCGCACTTTCTAAGTCGCATCCAAGGCAGACCGCAGGTCCACAAACTAAGCTGCTACCTTGTTCAGCTGCAGTTACTGTGAAAAACAGAGCACACAGCTCG